GTAAAAGGAAAAAAAACGAAAATTATTTCTTAACCAAATTTTGGAGTGTATTTTTCTTTTTTTTTCAGGTTTATAAATATTATGAAATATATACCTTAATTTTGACTGTAGTGATTACAATTACAGTTACAAAAACAAAAAAAATCATTTAATAATGGGTACTGCTCAAAGTACACCCACAAGAAAAATAACTATACCAAATGAAGAAAGTCAATTTATTAAAATTTCGGAATCTGTTGCTGAAAGATTAAGAAAATGTACCGAAACAAGCCCCCAAGATATGATGAAGAACCAGCCAAAAGATGAATGTGAACCAGCGGAGAACCATTTTAAAAATGTAAAAAATTCGGAACCCAATCCTGAATGTAAGGTTTTTGATAATTGTTTTTCTCCCCCCCCCCCCAATTCAAATTGGGGATTGTGTTGATTTTGCATTTATTTATTTAATTTTCTTTTGTTTTATAGTTTCTGGTGATGCCCTTATCAATTATTATTATGGACCTTCTATAACTTCTATTAGAATTTTACAGGAAAAAGAAAAGGAACTTAAAGAAAGCGAAGAATATTGGACGAAGAGAATAGCAAATATGGAGAAGCATCATGCGAGATTAAATCAAATTATGAAAAATGAATATAATAAAGCAATCGTTGAAATATCGTGTCAATCTCCTCGGGTTAGTAAAATCACTTTAATAGTTTTCTTATAAATTACAAAGCAGAAGACTTAATTTTTGTTAAAATATTGTCTTTACAGCCAGCTCCCGATTCACCATTTCCCTGTTTTGAACAAAAAAATAAATTACTAGAATGCTACAAGAAAAATCCCAAAGAAATTTTGCTTTGTGCTGGAGAAGTAAATGAATTTGCTGATTGCGTACATGCCAAAAGAATTTATATCGAGAAAAAAGGAACTGAATGTAACAGTGTTGTTATGTAGTAAGTGGCGGATATTAGTAATGATTATGTAAGTAGTAGGTTCACAGGTTATTTGCCTTTAGGTTGTTTTATGTACATAATTAAAGTCTAATGAAAAATAATTATAATTTATAATTAAGGTAATTCAATTTTATTGTTAATTTTTATGTTATAAAAAAAAAAAAAAAAAATTTATTTAAATTAGGCAAAAATATATGTATATAATTACCTTAAATTAATCATTTCTTAACCTATTTCTTAACTTTTATCTTAAATTTAAATTTAAAAAAAAAAAAAAAATTTGTTTTTAATTTGTGATTACCTAAAATAAATTATTTTATTTTAATAGACGATTAAATTTTTTTTTTTTCGAAATTATCGATAATTATTTTAAAACTGTTGTGAACAATTTCGGGAAGAACAATATCTAAACAGAAATTTTGTTTTTGTTTTTTTTTTGTTTTTGTTTTTTCAAATAAAGGCTTAGCAAAATGTAATTGTCTTGTTTATAATCTTTTCCCCCCCCCTTGAAAATACTATTAAAGCATCATTTTTAAAATTTCATTCAATTTTAATTTTTTTTAAATAAATATGACATATCGTAAAAATTTATATTTTATAAATATTTCAAATCTATCATTATTTATTAATAATAATTGCTTAATAGTTTTCATCAATGATCTTAAATTAATTAAAGGAAATAAAAAAAAAAAAAATAATAAAATTTAGTAAATACTAATTGTTTAATGATAAAAAACTTATTTATAATTAAGGTCACTGTGAGTCTTTTTATAAAAAAAATTATAGTCGTGTCCTCACTATCGCCATCCTCCTCCTCCTCCTCCCCCGCCTCGTCCACCACCTCTACCTCTAAAACTTGGCCTTCCACCTCCTCTTCCGAAATCTGTAAATAAAAAATTTTTGTATTATTATTTTAAATTATTATCGAAAACAATTTATTTATTTTATAATAATTTATTTACTTCCTCCTCCTCCTCCACCACCACCTCTTCCTCCAAATCCTCCTCTGCCACCTCCTCCTCCTCTTCTGCCTCCTCTGCCACCCCTACCACCGCCACCACCACCACCACCTCCTCTTTTAGGTCCTTTTTGACCAGGTGGTTTCGGAAGAAATCTACTTAATGGTAATATTTTTGCTGGATCAATATAAACCTTGAATAATGATGTAAAACGAAAACATTATTATTATTATTTTACCGGGAACAAAAAAAAACAAACAAACAAAAAATTAGGCTTTCTGCTTAAACTACCTTATCGTTAACTTGAAAACTGTTTACTTTCACTTCATCACTCAATCTCACTGACACATAATAATTTCTGATTGTGCCAAATATTTCATCAATTTTTCCTATTTGCTCTCTATTCGAAAGATAAATAGGTGCATTAAAAAAAGGTACATCTTCAATTTCCGACTTGATAACTAAATCATCTTGGGATGTATGAGTTAAAAATCCAAGGGGTATCACACGGTCAGGAGGACCTGTATCCATTCTATTAAATCTGCCTCCTCCACCACCGCCACCACCTCCTCCTCCTCTTCCATTTCGAAAATTACCACCGCCACCACTTCTTCTAAAACCGCCTCCACCACCTCCGCCTCCTCCTCCTCCGCGTCCACCACGGAAAGGCATATTATACAACTGTTGAAATCTGTAGAAAAATAATAATAATTAAATAAAACATAAATTAATTAATAAAAACTCGAAAAATTTTCTAATTTTACATTAACCACTGCCACGCACGGTATGGAATGAAAACCACATGGCCGGTTAATTCGCATAAAATGAAAATTTTAACAATTAAAAATAATGTGAAATTTAAAATAAAAAATAAGTAAAAACTAAAATCTTACGTTGAAACAGGTGTAAAATATCGTGAATAAAATAAAATAAAAAAACTTTAAAACGATTATTTTTTATTTTCTAACCAACACTACTTGTAAACAAACTACGCCATTTTGTAAAGTTGGTATCGGGCGAATAAGTTATACATATGTGTTCAATAAGAATAAATTTTAAAAAATTAAATATTTTCAGTGGAAAGTAATTTCATTAACGACCGAAATTAAAACAAAATAATAATTATCAATTGATGAAAAAATACTACAACAATTTATCTCAAAGTCTAAAGTAAAAACTTGTTAATTTAAAAAATATAATAATGATAATTTTTTTTAAGAAAAAGTTTTAACGAAATTATTATAAAATGCAGTTTTTATTTAAAACATGAGTTTTTTAAAATATGTCATTCATTCAGTATAATAATTACGAATTTTTAAAAATATTTTCTCATCCGTAATGAAATAAAAAAAAAATATTTGTAAATTTTTTTTTTTTTTTTTAAACGTAACGGAAAAAATTGCGCTATGGCGAACACAAGGAGCTCGTTCGATTTGTTGTGTCCAATGCACCAGTGTAGGTGGGTTGGGTTACGATACGTCAAACCGTATTTAAAATTTAATAAAATAAATTTTTTCATTTAAAACGTTTTCGATTAAATTTTTTTTTTTTCAATAATCATTTCGATTTAATTAATTTAATCATCGATAATTAATTGTGTTATCATGGAAGAAATAAATATTTGTAATGATATACCATACAGTAAAAACGGAGATCGAGATCAAGATGAGGTAAGTACAAAAAAAAAATTTTCATCATCGATTTTTTTTTGCCTACCCTTATATTATTATTTAATTTCGTCAAATAACATCATCCTCATATAAAATTACGAATAAAATAATTTTTTCTTTATTAATCATTATCGATAATTAAAATTTAATTTTAAAAAAATTTTTTACATAACGTTACAGAAATTGTTGCAACCGTTCAAATACATTCTTCAAGTTCCAGGGAAACATATGAGAGAAAAATTAGCAAAAGCTTTTAATTACTGGTTGAAAATCCCATCGGATAAACTTAACGTAATCGTGGAAATTGTTCAGATATTACACAATTCTAGTCTTTTGTAAGTCATTCATTCATCATCTAGTACATAATTACATTTTAATGTTCCCAAATGTGACATCATTTGTTTTTTTTGACGATTAGGTTAGATGATATTCAAGATAATTCGGTTTTAAGAAGAGGTATACCTGTTGCACATTCAATTTATGGTATTCCATCGACAATAAACGCTGCCAATTATGTTATATTTATCGCATTAGAAAAAACATTAAGTTTGGATCATCCTAATGCTACTCAGGTATACACTGAGCAATTGTTGGAATTGCACAGAGGACAAGGCATGGAAATTTACTGGAGAGATAATTTTTTATGCCCATCAGAATCGGAATATAAACAAATGACGATGAAAAGTAACAAACGAATATAATTTTTTTAACATCATAAAAAAAGAAATTTCTATACATTAATTTGTAAATTGAATTTTTTAGAAACTGGTGGATTATTCATGTTGGCTGTCAGATTAATGCAATTATTTAGCGATAATAAATCAGATTTCAGTAAAATTGCAGGCATAATCGGTTTGATATTTCAAATAAGAGACGATTATGGAAATTTAATGCTTAAAGAGGTGTGTATACAACAATCGTTATTCTTTTCCCATAAATTTTATGTATTCATATTCTTTCATCATTTTTTAAATAAATATAATTTTTGCTTTATCACAAAAATAATTATTGTAGGTTAATAAGACAGATGGCCAAGAATTGGACATAAAAAAGGTGATGAAATCATTTATTAAAAAAAAAAAAGTAATAAATAAATAATCATTAGGTTATTTAAAACATAGCTTAAAAACAAAAATAATATATTAGTTAATATTTATCATTATTATTATTATTCCAGCAGCAGCAGCAAAACTTTTTTTTTAATGCATGTGTCGAAAGCTTTTAAGTGATACCTAATAATATTAATAATAATAATAATAATTACATAAATAATAGTTAGTGATTTGTTTTTCCATTCGATTGTTTGTTATTAATTTTAATTTTGTTTTTTTGTTTTGTTTTTTTTTTGTTTATTATCTTGCAGTTTACTGAAAACAAAAGCTTTTGTGAAGATTTAACAGAGGGTAAATTCAGTTTTCCAATAATGCACGCAATAAGAAATCGACCCGATGATGGACAAGTCATGCGTATCCTTTTATCGTTTGCCAAAATGAAATTGTCGGCCATTTTGAAAACGAGTCGAATCACATTGAATGGTGCGTAGTAATTTTTTTTCTTAATTTTATACGATTAGAAATATTAAGGTTGAGAACGAAAGATGTCGACGTGAAAAAATATTGCGTGAGTTTACTTGAAAAATTTGGATCGTTTGCTTACACGAGGGAAACTCTCGAAAATCTCGTTATCGAAGCGAAAAAAGAAATCGATCGATTGGGCGGAAATCCACATTTGGATGCTTTACTCAATGAATTTTGTAATTGGAATCCTCCAGACAGAGAAGAATAAGAAAAGGAATTTGATTTATTTATTTTAAATTGATTTTTGCTTAATTGATTAAGTGGATGATATTAATCATTCCTTTTTCACGAGCTTTTTATAATATTTTTATCTCTCGTCTAAAAGCTTCAAAAGATCTCTTTTGAAAACCGTTAATGTATAACCGCCATTTTGTTTTTCTATCTCTTTCCGTCTTTAACGGATAAATAATGCTTTATTAAATGTAGGGAGCAGATAAAAATTTTTTTTTCAAATAGTTTTTACTACTAGATGAAATTTATTATCGTATGTAATTGCCAACTTAAAAAAAAAAAAATTTTTTTGTGAGATTTTTCTAGAATTTTCTCTTACGTACAAGATATTCAATTGATTATTCTAATATTATTATTATTATTACTACTATGGCAGGTATAAAAATGTATTTATAATCGATGCTCTTTACTCTCCTCGATTTTTTATTTTAAAAAAAAATTTGGGGGAGGAGAATATGGGAGGGAACAGAAGGAGGAGGAGGAGGAGAAGTGGGGGAAGGGGAGGGGATTCAATTATTAATCCATATCGAAATAATATTTAACATTTCAGTATTTATATCATTTGAAAACAAACAAACAAACAACAAAACTTCTCGTGTTCTTCTAATATAAGGCCTTATTGTAAATTTATACTACGACAGCAACAGCAACAACAGCAATGTTAGTTTAGGTATAATATACAAAAAGAAAACATTTTTATGTTTTTTTTTATGTTTTTTAATTTTTACAAAAAAAAAAAAAAAAAAAATTTATTACGTATTTTTTTTTTTGTACGTATTTATTATTATTATCGTGTATACGTTTTATATAACAAATGCATTACTACTTATTTATTTATTTATTTATGTAACGTTATTATTATTATTATTATTATTATTATTATTATTATTATTATTATTATTATTATTATTATTATTATTATTATTATTATTATTATTATTATTATTATTATTATTATTATTATTATTATTATTATTATTATTATTATTATTATTTATGGTTACTCTTAAACACGACAGGATACTTCTTATTTGTCGGGGTTTTTAAGATGCATTTATTCCAAGTTTCTACCCGACGATTCCTTAGGGATAAATGCTCCAATTTCGTCGTAATTATTATTATTATTATTATTATTATTGTGATTAAATTATTTAAGGGATTCATTCATCATCGTGAGATGAAATTGACTGTAAGAGGGAGAAAGAAAGAAAAAAGAAAGAAAATTCATTTTTCTAATTATTTTAATTATTATTATTATTATTATTATTATTATTTATTATTATTATTATTATTATTATTATTATTATTATTATTATTATTGTTTATTATTATTATTATTATCATTATCATACGGCAGCAGAATTCGATTGCGATTAGTTTAGCAAATTATAACGAGTGTCACCAATTTCTCGAATGAAAAAAAAAAAAAAAAAAAAAATTATTTTTAAATAATAATAATAATAATAATACACTATTCGTGCCATTTATTTTAATTCGTTTGTTCGTTTGTTTGTTTGTTTGTTTGTTTGTTTTTCGTTGAAACGGTAGTAAACGGGATCGAGGGGCTTATTCACAACCCGTAATAATTTTTTTTTTTCCGACCATTTTTATTACAAATTTTTCTTTTTTTTAAATTGTTTTGATTTTCCTTCATTACGTCATTGCATGGGAAAACAAATTATTAATAATAATAATAATATTAGGATACATTTTTTTTTTGGGTCACACGCGTAAAACAATCACAAAGTATTAAAAAAAAAAAAAAAATATGCGAGTCGTATTTTCATTACGAAAATAAATATTATATATATATATATATATATATATATATATATATATAAATTTGACAATAATATTAATTAATAAAAAAATCGATTGTTGGTTCGATATATCGATCGATCTATCGATTTTATACTCTCGTCGGGAAAAATAAATGACAATAATTTATACATTTTTACAATTTTGGGGAAAAGGGGATGGGAAATAATAATATTTTTAAAAGTTTAGGTAGAAAAAATTAAACAACAAAAACAACGACAACGACAAACATAGCGTTTGTTTCATTTATTATCATTATCATAATCATTTATTAAAAAAATATAAAATCAGTTACCAGTGATATGAAAATTAGTTTTTAATATTTAATTAGTCGTGCTTAACCTTTACGTCGTAAAGGAAAAAAATAAACGAAAAGATTTTTTTTTTTTTTTAGATTGTAACTAGTCTTCCATTTTTTTTTTTTAAATAAATGCTTATTATTATTATTATTATTAAAATAAAATAAATTAATTAAAATTTTCGTGTGTCATTTATTTATTTATTATATCCTTTAAAACATTTTTTTTTTTTTTTTTAAGGATTTCGACGGAGGATTATTAATAATAATAATGATATAATCATATTGAACGATAATTATTTAAAAATAATCCTTTTCAAACATTAAAATCTCTATTAAAAAAAAAAAAAGAATAAATAAAAAAAAAAAAAACGCGGGAAATTCAAACGTTAACGAATTCGAACGAAAAAATAATTAAAAGAAGGCAGTGTGAAAAAATCAGAAATAATAACGGTCGGTCGGTCGAATCGAATCGTTTTGTTATGTTTTGTTTGTTTTGCTTGTTTGTTTGTTTGTTTTGTTTGTTTGTTTGTTTTAATTATCCTGCATAGGATTTTGTCCATCTTCGTAAATGAAAACTCTTCGTGGTTTAAATAACGTTTTACAAAGTTGTCCTCTCACTCTTAAATTGAAAAAGCAAAACGTGAGAAGAAATAAGGAAACTGAAAAATACAACAAAAAAAAAACATTTTTAGAAAGAGAGAGAGGTGAGTACATAAACGTTTGTTTGTTTGTTTGTTTGTTTGTAACAAACTGCTATGCTTACTTCCGATTGTGGGTAAGGTCACTGTTAAAAACGAATGATTTACATCAGCAATTTTTCTAAATGTTCGTACCGGAATTATGTAATCATCAGCAAAATCATTTTTGTTTTTACTTCTATCCCACGGATTTTTATCATGTTCAACAAGTTTTTCTTTTGTCCATTCGAATAAATTCGAATCTTCGTCTTCTTCATCATCATCAATATCATCATCTTCGCTTGATTTTTCCGTGGACATGAGAAATTTTTTCAATATGTCCGTTATGTTTTGTGATACGCTATCGTACGTTTCCTTTTTCTTTTCATTATTATTATCATTATTTATTGTCGTCTCTTTATCATTATCATTATTTTTCATATCTAATGTCTTTTGTGCGTCGTTTTTTATATTATCTATCATTTTAACTATGTTATCTGCATAATTTAATATGTTTTCAGATGAGTTGACGACTTTTCGAATTATTTTTCCTACTTCATTTTCTTTTTTCTCATCTAATTTATCAGTTTTTTCTAAATTTGTTGTTATCATTTCATCTTCTAATTTGTTTCCCTCACTTGAATTTTTTTCAATATTTTCTTCAACGTGTCTTTTATTTTTTTTATTTTTGTCACGTGATTCATCTCCTTTCATTTTTTCTAATTTATGTAATTTGTTGTTGTTGTTGTTGTTTTCTCTATGATTTACTTCCCCTAAAAAAAAAAAATAAAATTAATATTGAAACTGATGATGATGTTGATGGTGGTGGTGGTGGTGTTAAGGATGACAGGGGGGTTGGTAATGATGGTGGTGATGTCAACAATGTGGTGTTGGTGGTAATACTGATTATGTATATGGTTTGAGATGATAGTAATAATGATAACTAATAATGTTAATGTTGGTAGTGATGATGTTGATAATTATAAAGGGTTTGGTGGTGATAGAGATAGATGAAGGGATGGTACATGGGATCTTAACGGTGATCTTGGTGGTAGTAATAATGATGTTGATGGTATGATATGGTAGGTAGTAATGATGATGGTGATTTTAATAATAATAATGTTAGTGTTTTGGACGACGGTGTGTTAGTAGTAACGGTGATGATGTTAATAACTAAAAAGGTACTGGTGGTAGTAGTGACGATATTAAAATTGGTGATGGTAAAGATGTTGATGATCTTAACGGTGTTCTTGGTAGTACTAACAATGATGTTGATGGTACGGAATGGTAGGAAGTAATAATGATGATTTTGATAATAATGTTAATGTTTTGTTAGTGACGATGTTGATGATTGTGTTAATGATGGAGTTTTGATGAGAATGGTGTTAGTGGTAACGGTGAAGATGTTGATAATTAAGAAGGTGCTGGTGGTAATAGTGAAGACGATGATAATGTCGATGATGGTTTAGATGTTGATGATCTTAACGGTGATCTTGGTAGTACTGATAATAATGTTGATGATGGTAATGATGTTGATGATTTAAACGATGGTCTTGGTGGTAGTAGTGACGATGATAATGTCGATGATGGTTTAGATGTTGATGATCTTAACGGTGATCTTGGTAGTAATGATGATGATGATGATGATGTTGATAATTAAAAAGGTATTGGTGGTAATAGTGAAGATGATAATATCGATGATGATAAAGAAGTTGATGATCTTAACGGTATTCTTGGTAGTAATAATAACAATGTCGATGGTACGATATGGTATGGCAGGTAGTGATGATGATGATGATGATGTTTATAATTAAGAAGGTATTGATGTTAATAGTGATGACGTATCACGATAATATTGATGATGTTAACGGTAATGTCGGGTCGTGAGAATGATGTTAAATCCATTGATTCTAAAAAAAACATCAAGTACCCGCAAATTTCAAAGGAACATCAATCATCTTATCGATTGAATCTTCATCACTTTTGACCGTTTTTTTTTTAAATTCATCAATAAATAAATCTCGCGATGGTGATTGGTTAGGTTGTTTCGTTTTAAATATAACTTGATCAAAGAACGATATCGGTTCTTTATAAAAAGGATTATCTTTGTCAAAATATTTAACGTTTCTTTGTATTTTAATATTTCCATTCCATTTTTCATCATTTAAATATTTAGGATTTTCTTCGAAAAATTTAACAACGGGCGAATATTCACGATCGTGAAAATTCATATTTAAAAAAGGTTCGTTTAATATATCCGATATTAATTTCAAATCCTCGTTTTTTATATTCAACGATTTTTTCAACATCATTCTTTTTATCCTTTTTAATTTTTTTTTATTCGGCGAACTATCATCGGATATTGAATTTTTCACGCTCGTATCGCCATTTTTTAAAAAATCATTTATCATTAACGGATCATCGTGAAATATTGAAAAATCATTTAAAAACGAATCAATATCGCCATTTTCTTTTATACCATCGTTAAAAAAATCTTTTTCGAATCCATCGAATGGTGAAAAAATTTTCGATTTTGTTATTTCCTTTTTTTTTTTCTTCCCGTTTAATTTTTTATCATTCGTCGACGTGTTCGGCAATGGGGATTTACGTATTTTATATAAAAATTTAAAAAAAATAAAAGGTTTTTCACGTTTTTTTACCGGTTGTTTTGCCATGTTGACACCATCATCATCATTCTTTTTACCATCGTTTTTATTATCATCATTATCATCAACGAGTCCTTTTAATTTTGGCGTTTGAAACATTTTCAACAAGGAATCAAATAATCCAGATTTTAATTTAACCGGCGTTCCTCTATCATTAAAATCCTTTTTTTTTATTTTTATTTGTTTTTCTTCTCCATTTTTTTTCGTCATATTTCCGACTCCATTTTCTTCAAATATTTGCCTTTTTATTTTCGTCCAAAATGTTTTATTTTTTTCTTCTAATAAACTTTCATTCGTTTCTTTTTTTCTTATCGTATCATTATTTATCACGAACCTTATTAATTGTGTGTTGTTGTTTGTATTGTTTGTTTTACCGTTTGGATTCCCGACTGAAAACAAACAAACAAAAACAAAAAAAATTTTAAAATAATTTCTTTTTTTTTGGGGGGGAGGGGGAGGAGAGGAGAGGGGTGTACTAACCTGTATAAAGTAAACTCAATGCACCGAAAGCCAATAGCAATGGTAAAAAACTCAACCCGAACATTTTATCTTTTCCACGATAAGTTCATTCATAAAAAAAAAAAATTATTTAACTATTTATATTATTATTATTAATCTTCCTCTTATTATTATTATTATTATTGTTATTATTAATTACGTTATTTTTTTAAACAATGTTTTGAAATGAAAATATAAATAAATAAAATTATAAAAGCAAACAAATCATCGTTTGAATTTATATTTGTTTTTGTTTTGTTTTTAACAAATCGATATAAATGAATAAAAAAAAAAAAAAAAAAAAAAATTCAATATGGCTTCTTTTCAATTATGCTATTCGATTGTTATTTTTTTTTTTTTTTTTAATGGCAATCGTGGAAAATTGTAAATTTATATTTTAAATTCTTTTTCGAGAATGGGAAAAGTTCTAGGGAAAAAAAAGGTTATGGTAATGATAATAATAATAATAATAATAAACACTCACAGAACTGTTTAAGGCGTGGAAAATTGATAGAAGCGTTTATAGCAGGTGCACGAGACCAGGCGCATTCTCAAAGTCCGTCATAATGATATGTGCCGAATTTGCCAATCGCAGTCGGAAATTATCGATCATTTCATTTCCGGTTGTTCGATATTGACAAAACATGAATATCTGGAGAAGCACAAAGTTGTCAATATATCCATTGGAATATCTGTTCCGAATATGTAATGGATGGATTACCCAAGGAGTGGTACAACCAGCGGATCCATGCACGATTACAAATCCACACTGATAGAACTGTACCAGCCAACAAACCGGATATCATCCTGAGACGTAATTCTGAAAAATGATGTAAATTAATTGAAGTATTCGAAGAACCGAAGAGGAGAAAAACACCAGACAGCCAAAGAAGCGGACAAAAGGCTGAAATAGTCAGTATGTGGGGAGTAAAGGCCGAAACTATTCCGGTCATCGTGGGAGCAGCACTGGGAGCCTTGCCACATTCAATGAAAGGAAATTTAAAGAAGATTTTGAAGAACCTAAAAGAAGAAACCATCCAGGAAATCGCACTATGAGGGACGGTCCACATTCTTCGAAAACAGCAGCACCACCGATATTCGAGCATTTATTCCCTAAGGAATCGGGTAGGGATCTGGAATAGATGTTTCAAAACCTCCGACACGTAAACAAAATCTTGTCGCGTGTAATAATAATAATAATACTCTAAAAAAATGATTTAAATGGCGCTACCATCGGTATTCGACTGTTTATTTCTAAATATTTGGGGAAAAACGTGGAATCAGTGCTGGAAAAACTCTGATAAATCCATAGAATTCACCCTGATAAAAAGTGATAACAATGATAATAATAATAATAATAATAACAAAAATAAATTTAAATGATTTGTTACGTTGAAATGCTTTTAAAAAAAAAATTACAATTCGTACCGTTGAACACCCTATTACATTAATATTTATTTTTTATATTTTTTTTTTTAGGGGAGAGGAAGGGGGCCGAAAAAGGAGGGGATTATGTGAAATTAAATAACTTAAAAATTTTGAATTAAAATTTAAATCCCCCACCCCCCGCGATAAAAGAAATTCTGACGAGTGTGTTTTAATTTAAATACGTGTACGAATGCTTATTATGTGTGTCTGCGTGGTGCGACATTATTATTATTATTATCATTATTATTATTACTAGTATTAAACGAGAACAAAGTTATTTAATGTCACATTTGCCTCATGTTTCGTGTGTATTACATAATCTCAAACGTAATTCAAACATTGAGATAAATTTTTTCATCATCTTGCAACGTTGGTGACGTTTGTTAAAAATTTAATTACGTAATATAATAACATTTTTCTCCTCCTTTTTTTTTCCTTCGAAAACTTAATTAATTTTTACATTACAATTATTATTATTATTATTATTATTTAAATTCTCTTGCAGACGACAGAGCAAACTACAACAACGAATATCATCCTATCATACAACCAAACCACTGATAATACCAAAGATTTGAAATAAATTTTTTCATTTTTTTTTTTTTTGCCTCCTCACAATTTTTAATAATAATAATAATAATAATAATAATGATGATGATGATGATGATGATGATGATGATGATGATGATAATGATAATACCGTTCCAGTCGAACGTTTTTTAATTCCAGAATAAAATTAATTAATTAAATACGTGGAGGAAAAAAATAAATAAAAAAAAAAAATTCTCAATTTGTTTGTTTGTTTGTTTGTTTGTTTGTTCTATAATACATTCGTTGTAAATCAAGTACGGTTGTTTACAACAACCCGTATGACCTATCATTTCAGGTTTTTTTTTCAACTAAAAGTCGATAGTTTCGCAATAATAATAATAATATTTTAAGTAACACGAAACGTTTCATTTAGTTTAAATTTAATCATCGTAAGAGTTAAAAGTACAAATTTAAAGAGATTAATTTAAATAATAATAATAATAATAATACGATTAAACATTTGTTAATTAAATAATTATTAATTTGTTTGTTTGTATGTATATATATATAAGTGATAATAATAATAAAAAAAAAAAATTGTCGTTGTTGTTGTCGTCTTACAACAAACAAAATCTTTAAATTGAGGCTATGCAATCGGTACTCGTTATCAAAAACAACAACTAATCATTATTTTAAATTGTTTGTCGTGAATTTGTTCAGTCGTAAAGAAAGAAAAAAAACAACAACATAAACGTTTAAGAAAAAAAAAAAAAAAAAGATGGCGTACAAAAGTGAAAAAATTGGAATAATAGGAAGGTAATGATTAATTAATTAATTAATTATTAATTTTTGTTTGTTCGTTTGTTGTTAAATGGGAATTTTTTTTTTAGTGGAATTATCGGTCGTAGTTGGGCAATGTTATTTGCTGGAGTCGGTTATGAAGTCGTCATTTACGATATTGAACCCAAACAACTGGAATCTGCAATGTTGGATATAAAAAATCAACTGGAAACTCATGAAAAAACTGGAATGCTAAGAGGAAATCTATCGGCTAAAAATCAATACGAATTGATAAGAAGTAATTATTTAATCAATTTAATTTAATTCGTCCATATTTAATTAATTAATTAATAAATAAATAATTTTAGCAACAACGATACTCGCAGAATGTTTAGACGGTTCGAAATTGATTAAAGAATGCGTACCTGAAGTGTTGGATATAAAAAAAAAAGTTTATAAAGAAATTGATGAACTCGTGAGTGATAATACTATTTTATCCAGTTCTACATCGACTTTACTACCTTCTTCATTTTCATCTGATTTAAAACATAAAGGTCAAGTTATTGTGTCACACCCGGTATGTTATCTACATAAAATATTGCAAAACTTTTTTGAAATTAAAACACAAAAATTTTTGTCATAATGCAAGGGAAATAATGATAATAAAGTCAAAATTTTATTTATTTATTTAGGTGAATCCACCTTATTATGTTCCACTTGTTGAAATTGTTCCAGCACCATGGACAAAACCAGAAATATCTAAATGCACATTGGAAATAATGAAAGAAATTGGACAAGTACCTGTACTTTTAAATAAGGAAATTGATGGATTTGCATTGAATAGAATACAGTTAGTGAATTATTATTATTATTACTATATATACCAATGTTTTATACACACACACACACACACATTTATCAATTTCAGGTATGCAATACTTAATGAAGTTTGGCATTTGGTTTCTGATAACATATTAAATGTTGAAGATATCGATAAAGTCATGTCTGAAGGATTGGGAATGAGATATGCATTTTTGGGACCCCTTGAAACAGCTCATTTAAATGCAAATGGTTTGATTATGTCTGACACAATTATATCATCATTTTTTTGGTTATTGATAAATATATTTTTTAAATATTATTTTCAGGCATGTTGGATTATGCAAATAAATTTTCAAATGTCATTTATTCAGTGAGCAAAACAATGAAAGGTGTGCCCAAAATGGAAGGTCCTACACTCATGAGTGTGGCAAATCAATTAAATCAAATGACGCCATTGGATAAACTTCAAGAAAAAAGAGCCTGGAGGGATTCGTGTCTTTTACAATTGGCACAATTAAAAAAAAAAATGCGTTTATAAAATGATAATATAATTTTCTTACCGTTTGTACTTCTCTTTTCCCCCTCCAAACACAAAATTTTTAAACTTTTTAAAATGAATAAAATTCATATTTTAAACTGATTTCAAACGATTATATTTTGTTGCTGACACGTTAAAATGAATAAAAGCGCGGTCAAATTTTTCAAATCATCGTGTCGCCAGACTACTTCCTACACATCTATGACTAAGTTTTTATTGTGTTAACCAATTCCACGGGTGATTGCACCATTTGCTTAGAATTTTTTTTCTTTTTTTTTTTTTAAAGACAAATGAAAATTACTGTAAACGTCAGTGTTTATTTATTGTCAACTTAATATATATATATCAAAATTGTGAAATAAATGGCAGATTCTCGTTTAAAACAAATTAAAATTAAAACGGGTATTGTTAAAAGAATCGCGAAGGAAAAAATCTGTTATGATAAAGAGGCTAACGAACAGCGGCTTCGCGTACAAAAATTAAAAGATGAATGCCGAGAAGAATATTATGTTAAAAAACAAGAGGAAGTTTTACAAGAAACATTAATGATGGTTCCCGATTGTCAGAGACGATTGGAAAAAGCTTTTGAAGAATTGAAAAATATTCTTCAGGGTGAAAAAGACTTGGAATTTACTGATGAATATAGTGTAGCTAAGAAAACATTAGAAGAAGCTCAACCTTTACTACCTAATCCAGGAGAACTTTTACATTTTTGCTAGTCAATACTTAAAGTAATATTTTATTATTACTATTATTATTATTATTACTTGTTTTTTTTTTTAATACTTTTTTTTATCCACGTAATTAAATCATGGATTGGACGCCATTTAATGTAAATTCAAAAGTTGTTATGCAGGATTATCATTATTTAAATCCCAGCACTCGATTTAATAACATGCCACCTTATTATTATTCGTCATTCAATGCTCAACAACAAAATCATTATAATAAAAAATCAAAGGAAACATGTGTTACAAACGAACAAAGGAAAAAAGATGAAGAATTCATTGATAATTTTGTGTCTAATATTCAGTGTAAAAAATTTGTTGAAATAAATTCGCCATTGAAAATATCTCAAGCGAAACAATTAATTTCAGAAATTGTTTCATTGAAGAAGAATTTAGAAGAAAAAAGTCTAAACCTTTGCGAAACTCATGAAAATTTTGACATGGAATGGAATTTAATAGAAAAAGAAATGAATGAAATTGATGAGAAACTCATGAAATTGAATTCGAGTATAAAACCGTTAAAATCATTGCTGATTAAAAGAATGAAGAAGAGAAATGGGCAAAAGAAAAAAAAATGGAAATATTCGAGTTATAAAATGGAAATGAAAAAACAAATCGAAATGAAACATGAAATGATAGACAAAATTTTAAATGAGAGAAACGATGAAGTGGAAGCGATTAAAAGAGAAGCATCATTAAAAAGACAAGCTGATTCTGTTTTACATGAAGTGAGAAGAAAAAAACATGAAGGTATGAAAACATTACAACTTTTAACTGCATTAATGAAACTTCGAGAATTACGATTGAAAGAAGAAGAAAAAAAGGGTGGTTACTGTTCGAAAGAACTCACAAATGTTTTCCACGAAATTGTTGAAAAATTACAAAAATTATGGGAAAAACAAATTGATATTTATAAATTAGAAGAAAAAGGTTTGAAAATAATGTTGGAAGAAACAACTTTCCACCATGTTAAAGAATCTAAATTTGAAATGAATCTTCTACAATGGGAAAAAGCACTTTTCGGTGATGTAACAAATGATAAAAATTTTCAATTATTAACAAAAGCTGATAATGATATTGAAGCATTGATTAATGTTAGAAAACAATGGGACCAATTTTTAATTACCAATCCTCAAACTCCTACATCATCATCATCATCATCATCATCAACCATTCCCATAGGTTGGGTTTTACCACCAGAAACAAGTAATGAAGACTGGAAAAAATTTTTAATTAAAACCAAACAACAACAACCGCAATAACAACCGCAACAACAAACATTCTTAATTAAACTATTTATTTAAAAAAGACAAATTTATTTTAATTTTTATATATAATTATTATCATTATTATTATTTTTTCTTCTTTATTATTTTGGAACCATTTTATGTATTCTTTTTTTTTTTTACGAACTTTTGTTAGCTAACTTAGTTTTAATATAAAAAATTAATTAATTAATTCATTAATAATAATAATAATAATAATAATAATTTATTTTAACAAATATTATAAAATGTATTATTATTATTATTAATAGAGTATTTTTTTTTTTTTTATTTAAACTAACATTTTATTAATTATTTATTTATTTATTTAAAAAAAAAAAAACTTATCATCATTTATATACATAACAAGAGATTCTTTTCAACATCTCAAAAAAAAAATATAAAAAAATTTACAAATGCAATAATAATAATAATAATAATAATAATTAAACATTTTAAATAACTTTAACAAATTATAATAATAATAATAATAATAA